AACTATGGCTTACTATTATACGCAAATGGAACCTGTGTAATTTGTGGCTAAAATAAGCATAAACAAACATTACTTGAGCTCTCTTGGGAGAGATGTAAAATCTTCTGCATGTTCTATGCAGAATATATAAAGTAACATTTGTGCAGAAAATACAGCATTTTAACCAAGTTTAGTGCATGTTTTTGGCAGGGTATATTTAAAACTGAGGTTTATGTATTTAAAACAAACAGGTAATAAATCTATACAGATACATTTCTTATCCATATGTCTCTGCTATGTTGATGCTTTCTTTTTTTGAACACCGCTTAGATATATTTTAAATATATTAAGTGGTATAGAAATCAAATATTTAATATGAATATATATTTACAAAGTCAATAAATGTGCATACTCACTCAGGGGAAGGTGGCCTTACCCCTTCTCTTGTATTGTTGTAGTCAATCAAGTACCATCAGGTTATTTTAAAAGCCTTTCATTTACTTTAACCCCTTAATATTTTCATTATAGTCATAAGTTTTTCTGGAGGTGCTACTTGCCAGACCTTTTGATACCAAGATTCCAGTATAGTAATACAGAAGTTCTTACAGTGCCTGGCAGTAATAGCATCTGCTGCAACTAAAAAGTGGCTTATTAGTTCTTAATTTATGATACCAACCCCTTTGCATTTTGTTCCAACAATAATTTCAGCAGTGGGGAATTAGCCACACTTCTAAAACACAGCAGATAACCAGCTTCCTAAGCTGCCCTGATTGAAATGGCTGATCACAATGACTTACGTGGTGCCTCTAAAACCAGCATATATATTCAAGCTCTTGATCTTCAGAATGACCTCTGTTGTTGCTGAGCTTGTAGAAACAGATCTAATACCTGAAAAGGTAAATATACTTCAAAATAATGTATTGTCATCAAAGATGGTTTGCCTTCTCTATTGAGAGTATGTAATTATATATACAGGTTTTTAAATAGAACCTAATAATAATTGCCTGACAATGAAGATTTCTTAAGGACTCATGAATAACCATACTCTTCATTTTGCATCTTTTATTTTTTTTAATTGAGAGATTTTTTAACCTGTTGTTAACTGGATTGTCCCACAACATGTTAGAGTAGTATTTAAAAGAAAAGATAAGAGCAGGTATGATTATATGAATTAAAACATTTAACCACCAAACAAACAAACAAACAAACAGGAGTGGACTAACATCCAACAGCTGAGGCAAACAGATGTATTTGACCTGGCAATGCCAGTAATGTTGGTGCCAATTGTACCTCAGAGGGAAGGTAAAAAGGTAAAGGTAAAGGACCCCCAGACAGTGAAGTCCAGTTGAATTCGACTATGGGGTGTGGCACTCACCTCTGCTTTTAGGCTGAGGGAGCTGGCGTTTGTCTGCAGACAGCTTTTCCAGGTCATGTGGCCAGCATGATGAAACTGCTTCTGGCACATGGAACACCATGACAAGTGGCAGAGCACATGGAAGCTGTTTACCTTTCCACCGCAGCGGTACCTATTTATCTACTCACGCTGGTATGCTTTCGAGCTGCTAGGTTGCCTGGAGCTGGGACAAAGGCCATGGGAGCTCACCCCATCACACGGATTTGAACTGCTGACCTTAAGATCGGCAAACCCAAGAGGCTTGGTGGTTTAGACCACCTGTGTCCCTCCAGGGAGAAGGATGTTCCCTAATCAGTACGTCACCACAAAGAAGGTCATGTCTTATGTTGCCCCATATGTACTTTCTCTGGGGAAGTACAGCACACAATGCACTTTCCCTAGAATGGTAGGCATTCCCTCTGGAAGGACAGATCAGAATTTGGGGCTGCTTCTGGATCCATCTTTGTCAGTGCAGACTCAGGTAGCCCTAGTGGCTAGGAATGCCTTTCACTAGCTACAGCTGGTATACCAACTATCGTAATCAGGCTGTTTTTAGATTGGGACAGTCTGGCCATATTGATCTATGCATTGGTAACCTCCATGCTCGATTATTTATTTAAACAATTCATATATCACTTAGCTACACTAATCCCCAATCAGTTTACAAATACACAGTACAAAAAGTTAGCATCAGTTGAAAAGCTATAACATGAAACTTCAGTTAAAAGCCTTCTGGAATAAAATTGCAATGTGCTGGTAGAAAATGCTGTGGCTAGACTTTTATTGGGGACAGATTGTCACCAGCATGTAATTCCTAGTGCTCAAAAGATTGCCCTCCCTGCCCATATGCTGTTGGACCAGTTTCAAGACTCTTGTGGTCATTTACAAGGCCCTTAACAACTTGGGGTCAGGATGCCTGATCCCTAATATCCCTGTTCACTCACTGAAGTCTATGAGGGGAATCATTGTTAGTGTGCATGTTAGATGCATGGCTTGTCTCCACTAGGAGCTGCACCCAATTTTATGGAACTTCCAGTTGAGCTCAGCCTGGTCCCTGATTAGCTTCTGGAACTTCCTGGAGACATTTTTAGTCCAGCAAGCTTTTAAACTGAACTCTGATTTTACAGTTGTTGTTTTGTCTTAGACTTAGAGAATGATTTTATAATGTTAATTCATATTGGATTAATCTTTTTGGGTCTCCTGCACACCATTTAGAGAATAGTGTAATTAAGCAGTATATAAATTGTATAAATAAATGAGTGAGCGAGTCTCAGACCTGAAAGGATCCCTTAAGCTGTTGCAATTCTGTTTTGTTCTTTCCAAGTTATATAGTATTTATTTCTTCTAAGTCTTGGAACCATTTGCCTAATATTAAAGTGGTAATCAACGTTGCCTCTAAATATTCATGGCTATCAATGATTCCCAAGTGCCTGGTGAATGCCAAGGCTTTGGCCTGAAGCATTTATTTAGTATGGTAGAGGGATCCAGTTATTGCAAAGTTCATTCCAATGCCTTATTTTAATCTAGCTGCTTTCTTGCATGAAAATAATATTTATGAATCTCCACTATTGACATGAAATAGATTACCCCAGATGCTGGTGACCATAGTTGTTTGTTTGTTTGTTTGTTTGTTTAAGTCTAGGCATACTTAATAGCGTTCCTGAGAAAGTTCTGGTTCTGCCAGGTTGTAGCAATCTTTTCCTGAGAGTTCGTGAGAAGTTTTGCACATCTTGAGCAGTTCTCCCCAAACTTACCCCCGCTTAAGATTTCATGGGATCCCAGACCAGCCCCTGGCCTAAGAGAACCTGCTCTGCCTGTCCCACCCCCCACCCAAGTCCTAGGGAAGGCACTTAAGCAGATATGGAAAAAAAGATCTCCCTGCTCTTAGCACTGATGCTGGGGGTGGGTGGGGGAACTGTCATGGAGCCCACTCCTTGTGGGAGTATCATTAGGCAGTTTCCCTATGGGAAAAGAAAGAGGTCATGGGAAATGCTTAGGTGGCTAAGCTCTTTGTGCCCATCCCAGTGTGTGTGATACGATTGCCTCACAAGAAGGAGGAGAGTACAACTAGAACAGCAAAAAAATTCAGCTTCTTACATGTTTCTGTAGGAAAAGCCCTTTGGGTGTCATGTGATCCAATTCATACAGGAGTAATGTACCAAAACAAGCAGGGCAAAACAACTTAACAGGAGAGAGACCTGAGCAGGAGATCTTCTGGTAAATACCTTCGCTCCTGTGTCTTTTATACATCATGCCCTTACCAGACCCCCAGTATGAGGTAATCAGGAAATTAAGGCTGTATTTCATCTTGAAATGTGAATTCTATACCATTCCTGATCTAGGGACCCTGTTTACAAACATATGGAGAGGAATTCAACTTGGCACTAAGCAGATTGCTTAATCAGCGCAAACATTTATGTTTGCCTGATGGAATGATCTGTCTTTTTCTCCCCTCACGTTCAGTTCTGGAGGATCCTCCTGAGCCCTCCCTCTTGCTAATTTGGAGGAGGAAAAGGGGGGTCTTGTGCTAGCAGAAGTCCTTGCAGGGGCTTCTGCTAGCAGGGCTTGTTAGCTGAATATTGCACAAGGATTTGAACAAGAGCAGTGGTCCATATACAGTGGTACCTCGGGTTAAGAACGTAATTCGTTCTGGTGGTCCGTTCTTAACCTGAAACTGTTCTTAACCTGAGGTACCACTTTAGCTAATGGGGCCTCCTGCTGCCACCACCGCACGATTTCTGTTCTCATCCTGAAGCAAAGTTCTTAACCCGAGGTACTATTTCTGGATTAGCGGAGTCTGTAACCTGAAGCATCTGTAACCTGAAGTGTCTGTAACCCAAGGTACCACTGTATTTTATATATACGCCAATCCCTTATCCATGGTTTTTATAATCCCTCAAAGTTTAAAAATCTACTCCAAGCAAAATCCTTGTGCATAGCTTTCTAGAAGAAGCCTAGTATTTGAAATGCTGAAACACTTATGGACACACATACACCATTGTCTCTAATAATGTTTTTAATTATAGCAACAAGTTCTGATTTCCTTAATTTTTGCTAATAGTTTAAGGGCACGTTGTCAATGAGTGATACTGAGGCCTGTAGCAATATATTGTTCAGGGAAGTTTTTAATATTTAACGCTGTACTGTTTTTAACACTTGATTGGGAGCCGCCCAGAGTGGCTGGGGAAACTCAGCCAGATGGGCGGGGTATAAATAAATTATTATTATTATTATTATTATTATTATTATTATTATTATTATTATTTTGTTATTATTCTATCAATCTGCAGTTCAAGCACACACCTTAATTTATCTGAGGTACTAAATCAATAAAATAAATGTGTTTAAATATATTTGCAGTTGGCAGCATAAATTAAAAATGGATGTGAAAGAAAATGAAAGATTGTTGAGATACTAGCCAATGTTTTAATACTTTTTTTTTTTTGCAAAATCCTACTAATGCTTCCTTGCTGTTCACTTTACCTTAAACCCCATCTTCCTGCTGATCTTGTCACAATCTTCTTGACAATAAGGGTCCCAATCGTGTACATTTTTACCTGTCACAGAGCAGGGGTGCCTACATTTTCTGTTTGGAGTAATAGAATTAGTCTTCAATTTCATTTTTCAGACTCACCCAGCAGTGCTGAAACTTCTTATACAAACTGAAAGTGAGCAACTTGTCATCATCCTGGAGAGAAATGAGTAAGTACTTCTAATTTGCATTCCTTGCAGTCTAGTAGTGTTAGTGAGTCGATTGCAAAGTTAAAATTGATGGGTTACATAATGCATGAGGAACTGTAGCTCAGACTGCTATCTCGCTTTAGAAAATAGCCTCATGTAACCATATTTCTAGGCTTTTTCTTGTTCAAAACAAGATGGTAAGTACATGTATAATTACATATATCTCTTTCTACATTGCTTTAAGCCTGCTTCATCCCCCACCCCTTTGTAACCATTATTCACACGGTTAAAGGCAGTCCAGTTTTCTTGAAACAAATGGTATTTCTTTATTGCTTCCTTTCATTATCACTGCTTAGTTTGATAGACTGTGGCCCAGTGACAGTTCCTGCTCATCTGGGCCTCCAGGGGAGCAGCTTTTGCCATGTGGCATGGCTGTGGCATGGTCCAATGACCGCTATTTTCATGTGTGGCCGTGAGGGGATGACCAGAGCCTCTCCTTCCGGCCATGCTAGCCCACAGGGAAAAGCCCTGGCCCAGCAGGCAAATCTGGTCACAGGGGAAGAGGCTGACCTGCCCCATTCCCTTCCAGTACTTAAGAGGATGGCTGCATGAAGTTCACCCACTTTGGAGGCCAACTGCAAATTCAGCACCCACCCAAGCTGGAGGTGGCCTGGCTGAAGGTGAGGGGGCAGGCTTGTGTGAGGACCTTGCTATGGTTTCTTTGGTCACTGTATTCTGGGCCTAGGGGGATTTCCCCCCCTGCAGACAAATTGGCTGGTCTGCATGTCACAACTCTGACAGATAAGGCATTAGGTTGGATCCTTATATGATTGGGTACTCTGTTAAAGGGGTCCAGGAAGGGTGCTTCTGTCTGGGGGCCCATATGGGGGCCAGAGGGCCATAGCACTTTCCCTAGTAGCGGCCCAAGTGGAGTTGATGCACCTGGTCCATGTCAGGGGCAGCTCCTCAGCTCTGGGTTGACACCACCATAATTATCAACCAGCAGGCAGGCTGCTTAATACGAGATTCATACCCAGTGCCTGGCCAAACCCTACTTACATCTGTAATCAATCTGTAAAACTGTGGCCGATTTCAACCCAAATACCAATCTCCTGTGTTTATTTCTACGCTGCCTGGCCCTTGCTGTGCTGTGGGCAAAATGCTCCTGTGATGGCAATCATCAGTTGGTTTGTCACTCTCTTTTTAGTGGATAAAACCACCTAGTAACCCTACCTGACCTTCTAAATGCTGAGGGGAAACTGCCGGAAATATAATAAGCTGTTCAGCTAAAATGTTTCCTACAGCCTCGCTCCTCCCAAGAATAGCAATGTATTGATCTTGATCTTTCAGGTTGCTAATCAGCAAAGAGCGTGGCAAAGGACTTGGATGTGTCTCCTTTGTTTCCACCTAGAGTTGCACACCAACCATCTATTTGTTGAGCACTGGATTAGGCAACAAATCCTGTGTTGTGCAGTATTTATCAGTAAGGCAATATTGGTGTGTGTGTATGTCTCATATCTTAGAAAAGCTGTTCAGCTGGTTTCAGTCTTCTCAACCTGATTCTCCTAATACATAATAACTGTATACATACATATACATAGAATAATAAGAAGTCGGAGGTTTTGTAGATGGTTTCTGTCCGACTAGGTACACAACTGTGGTATGGGTGAGGCAACTGAGCTAAAGCATAGGATGTGTATAACTTTCACATGCAAAACCAAAGAAGAAGAATCCTGATAGATATACTCCCTGGTGGTATCTCCTTTATGTGTTCGGGAGGGATAAAGTGAATGTGATTAAGAGCCTAATTTAGCAAGCCTCAAGATCCCAATCCCAATGCTTATTTTCTTCCAAATATATTTTTGATAATAGGAAATATCCTGTACACATTATAAGAATTACAGATGTATATAAGCTAAAACAAACGGAGGAAGGATTCAGGGAAGATGTCCTCTCTACTAAGGTTTCATCCTTACCTCGTATCTCCCAAAGAGAAGTCATTTCTGTTAGAACTGCTGTGGCACTTAGTCAGTGGACAGTAGGTATGGTGTGTGTGCCTCTGTTTTGTGGCAGACAATATATAAGGGAAGACTTCTGTTAGAGAGTTGTTATAATAAATAACTTACAGAGCTCAAAATCTGGTATAGTTACTGTATGTAGATTTAGTAAATGACTGTACTGGGTCCATTTTGTGTGTTAAATTTGTTAGCTGCACACGTAGAGTATACATATAAAATGTGAAGTATGGAGGTGAAAAACCTGTGTTTGTAATGGTGTCCATTTGACCAAAACAACTACTTTTAGCCAGTGCTGGGGGCGGGGTACTAAAAAAATGAGGTGCCAGTGCTTGCATATTGGTAATGGTGTCATGGGTGCCAACACTAAATGGCTTCCATGGCCAGCAATTAAAGAGGTGATGGTACTCCATACCAATGAATAACATCACAAAAAGCACTGCTTATAGCATTAAAACTCTTTTCCTGAAAACTTTGATTGAATTGTATTTCAGATCACAGTTCAGATACGTTATTTCATTCAAATGAGGCCTGATTAGCAAATCTATTACGGAGTTTTGAAAGTAGGCAATGATTTTAGTAGCAAAAGTGTAAAAGGCTAAAGGTGGTATCCAGTGTTGCTGTTCCACTCATGCAGCAGACATCTGCTTGGGCAACAGAACTTTCCCTTCCTCTCCTTTCCCCTAAAGCCTCTCCTCAATATGTTTAAAATATGCTCCAGAGGGTTTGGGATCCTCCAGAGTAGATTTGGGGCAGCACAGGGGGGAGGAGAGGGAGGGGGAGGTTGCACAAGCAGAATTCCTCTCTTGCAACATCAGATACAACTCTTCCTGAAGAATGTAGGTTTTAATCACACATTTTAATTTAGCATCACATTATGATGAGAATAAATAGATGCATTCTAGAGACTTGCAATCTATTAAAAATGTGTTAGAAGCACTTGCAGTGCCAACAGCCTTTCAAAATTGGCACTTCAGTGACCATTTACACAACATTTGCTTTCTCAGACTAAGCATCTCTCTACTTAGCTATACTGTGTACAACAATAATTTATGGGCAAGTATTAAGCAAGCTTCAAGAATTTTGTCCTCATAAATGTTGTATGTATGTGGGTCAAAGTGATAATAGTCATAACATTGTCTAATGTTGTAGTTTTTCTTGGTGTATTTAAGTTGTCCTTGCCAGCAGAATAATGGTATGTGTTTACTTTTCTTGCAAATATATTTTATTTATTCATTTCTTACTGTTTTATCTCACTTTTCATCCAGTTGAGCTCAAGTTAGCATGCATGGTTCTCTCCCTGACTTTTTAACCTTACAACCCTGTGGTTGTAAGACTGAGAGAAAAGTGATTGACCCAAGATCATCCCAGTGAGTTTCATGGTTGAAGTCGGAATTTGAACCTAAATCTCCTACCAGTCCCAAAACTGATATTCTAGCCACTTATCACACTGTCTCTCCTTGATACAGGATAATAGACTGTGCATAATATAGGAACTAAAGAGAGAGAAAATATGGTTGCTTTCCATAAGAGGGAAGAATTAGGTTCCTTTACTGGACCAGGTAGGCACCTTGCAGTATCTGATATAATTTTATTCATGTCTTAACTTCTCCTAAAGTTACCATATTCTACCAGCCTATCAAAGTTCCTTCAAGATTGTTTCCTAAATATTTCTGGCTTTTGAAAATGCTTCCCTTTTGGAAAAAATGAAAGTAGTATATTTTTGTTAGTAGTATATACATATTGTTGCATGCCACCCCAATCTCTGAAGGCTGTGAGATTCCTGGAGAAGAGTTCTAGGCACTTACCCCAGGTTTCATGTTTCCTTTTGGAATGAGGCAGTGGAGACTTTGGAGTCTTTATGATATATGGTTTATTTACACATATATACAACCTGAGCCTTTCGATTCCAAGGAAACCGAACTCTGGGTAGGCACCTGGAAGCGCTGGAATCTCGCACTGCTCAGAGATTAGATGGTATGCAACAATATTATCAGTGGCTCAAAACATAACTAAAAGAATAATCAAAACAAACAACAGAAATTATATGGTGGGGAAACAGGACCTCCCAGAAGTATATGGCTGTTATAAATTATTTCTATATTGTAGTTTTAAAAGTTTATAAATTATCCCTTCGACCACTGACTGAGCTATTTCACCTGTGAGTCCTAGAACCAGCTGCTGCAGTGTAAGTGTTTCAGTGAAAGCTGACAGCTTGAGTTACCCTTTAATTAAAATAAAAGTTGCTTTTTCAAAAATTACACTCCGCTGTTATATCAATGCCAACATGCTGCAGCGCAGTCAATCACATTCACAGTCATTGTGGTAGTGCTTGTGTCATTATTCCTGTCTGTGTTTTGCTTTAATGCAGTAAGTTCCATTCTCAGAATTCTTTTGCCTACACCCAGGCTGGGGGGGCCTGTCCTTTGTCAAGGGCCACATTTCCTTGGGGCAGCCTGTCAGAGGCTGCATGCTGGTGGTGTGAGACCAGAGCCAAAAGTGGGCAGGGCTGCTCCCTTCTCTCTTTATCTCCATCCAGCAGGGTTGTACAAATGATTTTCTTCCACTGGAGCAAAACAGGGCCATGCTGTGCCGTCTGCCCAGTCACACAGTGGGGAGTCCAGCCAGCCGACGCAACCCTGCTTTGAAGGGCACACTTGCGGTGCCCTGCAAGCCCAGTGCTGCTTTGTGACACCCACAGAAATGGTGCTGGGCTCACAGGGTGTCGTGAGCTGTTGCGTCTTTCTCAAGGTGAAGTCTCCAGAGGGGTGCCATTGAGGCTCCTAGCCTGTGTGTGTGCATGCACAAATGCATGTTGGAGGAGGGTGCCAAACAGGATCTTTGACCAGGGTGAAAATGAGCCTAGTTTTGCCTTTGCTCCATAACAGCTTATGTCACAGTAAGGGTTTATCCACAATTACCTTCCCTCTGTTCTTTCCAGGCAAGGACTATGATTTAAGGCTCCATGTCCAAACACCTCCAACCCACCCACCCCTTTTTTTGCTC